ATTAAACTAAGGCTTGTTTTATCAGTGAAATTCATTTCAGTTGGGAGATTTTAACGCCCTCATAAAATTTCTCCAAATCTTAGGTGGTGGGCAAATTTCTTCAGCTTCGTTCGTTCTTATTACTTATAATAAGTTTTAATATCCCATAACATTTTACTATATTGATATGGACTATTGATAAATTGTCTTAATTAAGTACATTGGGTGGTCGCCCTTATCTACAACTCTCATAAAAAGAAGTATTCGTTTAGTCGGTTTAAAATGGTATGCTTTTCATACATACACACTAATTGTTGAAGATTATGGGATGTATTCGATCTTGTATCTGTATGATTTGTAAAAATCAGAAAATTTTGTACACAAACTTAAGATTTCATGTGCACTTAATCTGAAGATCTTTATGACTTCCGGTTCTTTTGGACGATAAAAGAAAATAGCAGAAGGAAAAGATGGCAGTCCAAGTTTCAGGAGCGTTATTAACGTTCTCCAAAGCATATATTGTCAATATCAATATATTTATGTGAATATTTTCATTGCCAAGTCACCTCAGACCATTTCTATTCACTTTTATGTAATTGTACTGAAATTTTCATATTTAATAATCGTGCAGATATCTGAAAGTGATCTTATTATATGAAATCTTTTTGATCGATATTATTTTTTAATCTTTGCCATCTATACACTCAAAAAGGCGATTGATATCTTCGTTGCTTTACTTCTGATAATAGAGCGAACTGAATTTCTTAATTGCATACCGATAATATTAGAACGAAATATGATTTTTGGGTTACGCTAATTTTCCAGTTCGATGAATGATTTTTATGGTTTGACTCTAGATTGGCTTAATATATTCTGTTACCGTGCACAACCTAACTATTCTCAATAGTTTGAAATGCTTAAATTAAAAAAAAGGATTATGAAATGATCAATAAATGCTATGTCATTTTCCTGAAATTTTACCCTTGCTCAGGGCATATAACGCAAGGGATTCGTTGACCCCATTTCTATTTGACAGAGAAACAGATCGGTGAAACTTCCAAAAGATAGTCTGCGTAAAAGTACCCTCAATGTTTATTGCGTAGTGTTACTTGTCTGCCGTCCAGTCAGGTGCAGGAAAATTGAACGTAAAACTCTATTTCATTATATTTCTGAAAACACAAACCAGCAGGTTGCTACATTAATGAACAGCTGCACACTTATCATTAAACAAGACAAATTCTTATTGAAACAGAATTGAGGAGTGTAACCTCTAAAAGTCGGTAGATTTCAAACTCATAAACCTACAAGTTTATTGGAATTTTATGAGAAAAAGTCCAATTTTTCTTATTTTTATACCTCCGTCTCACTAACAGGTGGAAGGTTGTCTATAAAAAATGTTATAAAAATGTGAGTTGGGTAATAAAATCAAATTGGTTCTGTCGTATTAAAATTAGTCGCATTATTATTTGCAGTTCATCTGTAAAAATTATAGACGTTTTATTTCCCAAATAGAAGATTCATTTTACGAACAATTGTAGCCTATTATCAAAATATCCCTTATAAAAGTTTGCTGGTAGTGTTTGTTATAGTTTTGATATTTGCATGGTGCGGTTGAAAGCGATAAATAAATATTAACCTTTTAATAAAGATGAAATTCTTAACTGTCAGACTACGTCATGACTTGATAAATATAAAAACAAATCAAGTCACAGTGGGCTAATTTTTTTGGTACAGAAAAGCGACATGCTAATGGTCTGGTCTTAGCACAGAGTGCCACCAAAAGTCGCAAAATCACTCCTCCCAAAATGTTTGTGTTTTGATTGAAGAAATATGTTAAAATCTTGAAATCATAGGGACAACTGCAAGGAGAACTACTTGAGTCCTCGTTTTTCAATTGCTTATCAAATGACCCTTTGAATACTCGATGAGCAATGTAATCACATTCTTCAAATAAATATCACGATAGAATGTCTTTGATGGAGTTTTTCTTGGCTGATTCTTGTGAAGTGTAACTTACTGCATCAGTGACGAATGAAGACAAAAGGCGATAGGGTACATAAGTTCTAGTCCGAAATATGTTGTCGCTGCTCAGGATGATTTTGACAGACATTTTTAAAATTTAGTCCCCTAAAAAATTCCTTCAGGGTTGATTCTCTGTATTTAAATGCATTGATGAGTAAGATTAAGATTTAATTACAAAAAAAAACGAAAGGCAAGGTAAAATCAACTTGAAATACAAAAATAAAGATGGTCTCAAACACAAATCCCTTGTGTTGTCATCGTACGAAATTGAAGTTAAGAAATAAGCATACTATGGTATGGACATATTTGTATATCAATCAGTTTGTCGGCGACACAAAACCTCACCTTCTCAGATTCATTTGCCAACAAATATTCAAACTAAAGCGAAAAATTAAGCAAAATATGGATAAATTTGGTTTTTCAATCAGAATGTGTAGGACACAAAAATCAAGGATGTTCTCAAATTGAATACTAGACATAACGGATTGATTTATACGAAAATGTATTTTAATCAGATTGTTTCGGACTACAGTGTTATCTAAATTGCATATTTGAGTAATTTGTAGGAATGTAAAGATATGTACAAGAGTTATATAAAATGTTTGTTGTTAAATGAAAATCAGTGTTCGAGATATTGATACACGAGGTAGAGTAAAGGTAACACACGAAACATCGATAAAACCTGTATTAAAACCAGATTGAGTAGGGTACCTCCTTCAACATGTGTTATCTTCTTTTTATCTGTATTCTGTTCATAATTAACATTCTATCAAATAGTCTACATGTGATGTTCTTGTATTCCCTCTTGTCATAGTGACACTTTCTCCTCCCTCATGTTACGAGTTCGAGCCCCAAAGATATCGAATCCCCTAACGTCCACTGACATTGACTTTAGCAACAACTAGCACCACCTTATTATCTTATTTCGCCGCTGTGATATTACGACTTTGGGCTCTCACAAAAGCTAAGAATTCTTAGAGCAGTACGATTCTCAAGTGCAGCACAAACGTTTTGATATAATTGCCACTCGTAACTTGTATACCTGGTCATCTTTCCTCGTGTTATACAGTTTTCTTTCCGAATTCCAGGTCCAAAATAACATACAATCTCAGCTGATGATGTATTAAAATATCCCTCCATAAATACAATCTCGGTTGATGATGCATTAAGAATCCCTCCATGACATACAATCTCGGTGTTTTACTTTGTTGATACTGTTGTCATGCGCCGTCTTTTCGTCGGTAAATCAGTAATGGAATTTGTACAACCATTTTTTCTGAAATCAGTCCTTCAATCGTAGCTTTATTCGTTTTGTGGTGAAATTACAATTAGAGCAAAGTTTTTATAAATACTGGAGAAAAACCGTCAACAGTATTTAATTAAGAATTTTCTCCGATCATGGAAGTCGAGGCTAATTACCCACAGAAATATTATAATCTGTAGTTTAGTCAGATTAAAAATTGTTGAGCATTTTCCACGAAGGAATTAAAATAGTATAACGTTAATAAAGGTATAATGTTATTGTTGTTGGACGAATGTATCGACTGCCGCCATCTTGAATACATCTGCTGCCACCTGTAGTCTGAATATAAACGTCCCAGTGGACACTAGTACAACGCTGAAGAAATATTTTCTTCAACTCTGTGACCTATGATTAGAAACGCTTGTTACAATATCGGAAATTTTTGTATTTCGTCATTAGATTATTGTCATTCTTGCCTCCATACTTTTTTAGTAGAGAAATTCAATTTGTCTTATTCACAGTACTTGTGGGAGTTACTTTTGGCTTTTTCGTCTTAGGCATTGATGACGTCAATAAAGGTTTCGGAAATTCATTTACAGAATAAATGAATAACTATGGCAATATAACGTCTCTCTGCTTTATGCCTCTATCTTGTTTACCTTGTATGGAATGTCAGTATCATAATTATCGTTATTCTTATAGCTTCGTGAAAAAATGCCGACAAAATGGTGCCCTGCGGTAGGGATTTAATGTCTTATAAGGGACTGTTTTTTTGTGATTCATTCTGATTGTGCGCGCCTTTTAAGGATAAACCTTGTGTTGTTTGACAGGGTTGAAATCTTTTACATTTCAAAAAGTATGTTCTGCATATATTTCTTGTGCTCGCAGAAAATTAACCAACCATTGTTGTATACTAGAATTTATCTACATATTTTTCAGAGAAATTAGGCTGTACATTCTTCTATAGCTAAGATCAGTTCCGAATCAAACGAATTTAAAGAAAAAAAAATTAAAAGCATTAGTTGAACTAAAAACCGACAAGTCAAAATATTTACTGGTGTAAATCCGAGATATATGAATGAAATAAAAACGGGTTTATAGTTAAGAATGTCAAGTATTGTGTTTTTATTATTTTCAATATGTTTTGGCACTGTGACTTCTATAGTAGATTAACGTCGTAACTTCCACTTGAATGATCGTTAAATCCACTTTTAATATTTACAATGTGCGGGAGTCCAGAACTGATTTTTCCGCTTGAATATAGATTAATAGATTGTAAAAATATACTGCACCCGGTACTCTAGGCCAAGATATTAAACTTATGAACAGTATTGTGGCGTTATGGAATTATCAAAGTCATAAATGTATACATATTTTATGAATGAATGAATGAATGAATGAATGGATGAATGAATGAATGAATGAATGAATCTAAACAAATGGGCTTGGAAGGGTAATTTGATTTATTTATTCGAGAATAAGTGAATAAATAAATGTATTACGGCTTTGGGGGCGGGGAATAAACATATGGTTTACTTACTTATGCATTGTTTTATTCTGCCAGTTAACAAATGCACTTTAAGGATAATCAGTTATGAATATGAACGTCGTTATACTTGAGATTACACGTGCTGAAACAATTACAAGGGAGTGAATCCTTGCTCAGTAGCTGAATCAAAACATAAAACCAAATTTTTAATTACTGCAGAAATTTTGGATAGTGTTATTAATCAAAGTTATCTTTTTCTAATTTCAGATTGTTGAGAAAAATATGCAGTTACGATGTCGTTGCCATGGTGTCTCGGGATCATGCGCAGTGAGGACGTGTTTTAGAAGTCTTCCGAACTTTAGAAAAGTTGGATTAGAACTAAAAGACAAGTACGAAAAGTCAGTGAGATTAGCTCGACGTTCGAGGAAACGTTTACGCCGTAAGGACAAAACAAAACGTAAACAGGGCATTTCTAAACAAGAACTTGTGTTCGTGCATCGTTCGCCGAATTACTGTAAAGAGGATATTAAGAGGGGTATATTTGGAACGCGGGGCAGGGTTTGTAATCGATCCTCCCCCACCGAGGAAAGTTGTGATTTACTTTGCTGTGGTAGAGGCTATAACACGCAGGTGGTCAAATACGTCGAACGTTGTCATTGTAAATTTTTCTGGTGTTGTTACGTCAAGTGTAAAACTTGTGAAACGATGATGGATATCCATACTTGCAAGTGAAATTTAAGCAGATATTATCAAATACAAATGTACTTATTTCTGGGTTACTCAAAGACAATCCATTGGAGGAGTCGGAACTTCTCGTTAGAACACACAGTGTAGAACTCAGACAGTCCCCACTTTCCCCTAGTTTATATTAAAAGACAATGTTTTGGGTTTATTTTGTTCTCCTTAAAAAAAGGATGAAGATTGTGGCAACTTTACTCGCCAACTTTGATATTATTAAAATATTGATACATGTGTTGGAAGAAAGGAAATAAGCTATGGTGTCGTTGATGATTTTGATGGACGAAGTGACTGTCTGAACTATGTACCACAATCGTTTTACCGCGCCTAAAAACTTTACAGGAGTTACAATCTCAAATCGTTGATATTAGTGTAGCATTTATATAATTGAATGCTAAACACCATCTAAATTTAGAGGGTGTTGCCCTTTCATCACTTCATCTCATCATATAGCTATGTAGGTCATACCGTTTTTACACGTGCATATCTAGAATTAAAGGGGTATTCCGCTTTTTTGTTAAATGTTTTCATTATCAAAAAACGTCGTAAATTATACACGAGTACTAATTGTTAATTAAGCAGTTTGACTAACTTTTGGTGTTTGGCTTAATGATGGCTCAGTTTGGCTCGATATTATTAGTTGAAACATGTAGAATATTTCTCTTCAATGAGCCGTTTATTTTCTCTAGATTTTGGTGTATAGTTTTCACCAGTTTGAGCAAAAGGATTTTCGACCTACAAAAAAGGGGAATGTCCGTATTGATTGTTAGGAATTCAAAACGCACATAGAATCAATCTTCACAATGTCAATAAACAATGTACGAAGTTAGCTTGACATTGTGAAGATGCATAAAATCAAGCATATTAACAATTCAAATTTGTATATAGTTTTTATCATATATAGATCATGTGGTAAAATGCACGTGCGTGGCATAAAAATATGTAATTTTCGTCATGAAATTAACTCTTTGATATGTATATACAATACATTTTATAGGCCTACATGCATTTCCATACTCTGATGAAAAATTTGAACCCAATCGTATGAATAGTTACAGCTATCACTAATAATTCTGAGAAATTCTGACGCCCTGTACGTCTGCAATTCATCACAAAATGTCTTAATAAAAAATATTTCTCTTTGCTGCTAGTTTTCTAGTTAATTTCATTAAATTATTTCAAGCAAAATGTATGAAATGTAGAATAGAAAACATAAGGATGTAAATTTTCATTATCATATTGATGTTTTTATTCATTTGTATATAATGTTCACTTTGTTGCTAATTTATTTGAAACGGTTACGTGTGACAAGACAATTTTCACATCCTTCCCTGTTGTAGTGTAGAGGTGCTGAAATTTCTAAACTATTTGGCTCCCCCCCCCCCCCACCACCCACCTGCACTTCCTTTCCCATTTTAAGCTGGACCGCCCTGCCATGTGCAAATTTTATTCATGTGATCCACCACTTTGATGTCCTTGAAATCCATATTATGTCGTTTTCTTGTAAAAATATTGTACCTGTAAATCTTAAATATTTTATTGTCATGTTTTGTATATATTACTAGATTAGTAGATTCGACTCTTCTTCTTCTTCATTTCCATAATTCAGTGTGGTTTTATCCAACACCTCCGCTTTTCGTCTAATCCAGTGCGGCTTGATATAACATAATTTGCTGTTAAACGAAGATTTTTGCATCATAATTACAGAAACCAATTTAATTCATTATTTATGAATAAGACATTTTAATGCATTTATTTAATATTCATGAAATTATTGTATCTTTCTTGTATCTTACTTGATTTATGTACTTTATCTACATTTTCATAGAGTGGGTGCTGATTTTCCAAGAGATGTGAAGTTTCTTCGATCATAGAATCGACCAGCTGTTTGATCAATCTTTACTTACTGTAACCACATTCTTCATTTGTTAATCAAATTCATATATCATATTTATAGTTTGGTATTCTGAAAATAATGCTGGTGCCAACCACGTGAGCACCGGGCAAATTTTGGAAATCCTTTTATTATACAATTTTTATGGTTGGAGTTTTAGAATATTTTAGTATTTTCAATCCATTTATGTGTCTATAAAGTTCAAAAGTTCGGACTCCATGTTAGATCTGTAGTGTGTAACCTGTAATGTTGTCTGGGACTCCATGTTAGATCTGTAGTGTGTAACCTGTAATGTTGTCTGGGACTCCATGTTAGATCTGTAGTGTGTAACCTGTAATGTTGTCTGGGACTCCATGTTAGATCTGTAGTGTGTAACCTGTAATGTTGTCTGTCACTGAGTTGTAATCATTTAATTATTCTTCATTAATAAAATAACAATTCTCTCCCTTTATCATCTATGTCTTTATTTTATCCCAAGCTACTGACTATAGATTCCAGATCTGATTTATATGGCTTTTCATATTTACCGGGGAATTATTGACAATGTTATATGAAGTAACTATCAAAGTAAAGCCGAGATCAGTGACAATAGTTGACTCTTCGTTGTGACATATGGATGCCGAAAGACTGAAAAGAATGTTTATATAACGTGCCATTGCTTAATTAAAAATAGCATGTAAAATTTTGACAATTTTCATCAGTAAAGGCGACATGATTGTTTAAATTTTTCTCTGGTTTAAGCTCGGATTTACCTGCCGATTGAAAAATAAAGCACCCAAATAAAGAAGATAGACAGGGTCAAAGATCGTGGTGTAATTTGTTGACTAAGGAAGATGTTTTGTAAATATGACGGTCAATGTTCTTAAAGCCTTCATCCCTTGGGTTTAGTCTTACAATACCCTTATCCACCTGTTTTCTTCGCATGTGGTACGGCAGAAATTTCTATATTTTTGTTAGGGATGGACTTCAGCTTTTGTTTTGATCTATCTCCAGTCATGTTCCTAATATTGGTTTATCTTTTTTTAGGGGAGGGGTGAGACATAGCTCTAGATCATACAGACTACAAAAACAGCCTTTGTGCCAGTGCTATCGGGTAACAATCTGAAAGCAAGTTGGATAAACAATAATGAGGCTTAAAAAGCTCCCTATTGGAACTAAACCCAAATCAATATAGAATTAAGAATAGTAACGAATTTGACTATTTAATTTTAATAAATTGATATCTTGAAGGAAATTTCGGTCTGAAGGAAATTCCATTCTCTAAACTTGAAGAAATGCAAACTTTGAAGAGTTAAAATATTCCTTGAGGGAAAATTCCAACTTTAAATTTATACAAGCCCAATTAAATAACATTTAGAAAAGGAAAAGGAAACGATGAAATTTTTCCGGTGAAAGATGTGTCAGATGATTGGCCTATGTGAATTTATTATTCCGAATCACTTGATAATTCGATAGTTGTGCAACATCTATCCGTGTAAAGGGAAGCAACTCTTTAATCAAATGTATACAGTCAGAATACAGCTATTTCACAGCATTGACACAAACCCTTAAGAAAAATTTGCCCCCCTCCCCTCCCCCCTGAAAAATTTAGATGACTATAGTTGAGCTCCCTTGTACCCCTTTACAGAGAAAGTGCCAATGGTTCATAGGCCATCCTCAGAGAGTAATTAATGTACAATATCGGATATAACGGCGTATTATAGACACCCTGCTAAGTCTCAACATAGATATCCTATAAATAACTCAGTGGTCTCAAAATGGTCAAAGGGAAGTAACTCTTTTTTATGACCTACTTTAACCCGGAAGTGGGCTTAAATGAAAACAAAGTTTTTTTTAATAATAGATCTATTATGACTGATATTTGATATGAGTGATTAATAATATAAAATGGATAAAGAGAACCATAGTTTACGAGAGGGATTCTTGCTTGTTCAGGTTAGTAGCTCTTGAACCGCAGTTATACAATTTTTGTGGTCATTAGGTTTCTTGACAACGCCTCTTTGCTCCAAAAAAACAGATGTTTGTGTCTGGCTAAAAAATTATGATTTTCTTTGTTTTAGGTGTTACAAAAATAGTCTACATTCAGGGTTAGATTCGAAGCTTTATCTAGACTAGATAGGCTTGCTCTTAATAAGCCTTATGAATGTAGGCTATAGACCTATAAGCTTGTCATTTCAGGTTGCCTCATCTCTGTTGCAATGCAATGTAATTAAGCATTAATAATTAACCCATTAATTATTTAATTATTCAGTGTCATTTATTGACTAATTCTATTACTGTATTATTGTCTATATACTAGCCTATAGTATGAATATATGATTCTGAAACTGATGACAGTGTCTGTCAGTGTCAATATCTCATTAACCATTACAGTATCTGCTTTAGGACTTTAGGTTTATTTCAAATAAATAGATATAGGGGCCTAATTGTGTACTAGACATTTGATTTAAACAATATTTATTTTCTATTTAAAATATCAATTACAATACAAAATATAACTGAATTCAGAAACAAGAACATGAATATGTAAATCCGTCTCCATTTGGCCAAGCAACATCTCAGCGCATCAGTTATATTTGAGACTATTCTTAATACTCTAACATTATTATTTAAAATTGATGTGTGCTAAAATAGCAATTCAGAAACAAATCATATTAATAAGTATACCAGTACAATCGAGCACAAACCAAGCTTGTATAAGTATTTCATTCTTGATTTGAATTCAACAGGCCATGATAGCTGATTATATTAGAGCAAACAGAGATGAGTTTCATATTCATACAATAATTGTTCTGGAAGACTGAGCAATGCATAGTTTATTTATGTTATGGTTAATGCTGTGTCAGACTGTCTGTTCTAGTTAAAATATTTCTCTCTACAGCAGATATTGACTTTACACTGTCTCATCTAGTACTCTTGATTTGTCTGTAATAGGTCAGGGTAATACCTTCGGATTTTTCAACACGTTTCCCTTGTTAGTGATGCAAAGGAACTGACATGCGTCTATTCATTCAGATGGGTTAATTAATTGAAGTCGCTTGTGCTACAGGCTGTGCACATTAAAGATCCCTCAACAGTTGGAAATAAAAAAAGATTAGGCTAATGCAGCTGTTGTGGCAAAATTTCACTCATTGCACACTGCATGACATTGCCCTATTCATTAAACCAATTAGATACAGGAAGGTATGACTGAAAACTTCATTCATTTCATTTATTTGTCTGTATTTGCCAGATCTATAACATTCTACTGGTTTTTTTTTTTTCAGAATATCAGTAAGAAATGGAAAGTAAGATGGTTCATTCTAGAAGAAGAAACTTTGTCCTGTTTTCACAAGAGAAAAAGAAATTTGATGATAGAGATATTTCCATTGAAGGGTTGTGCAATAGTTTGTCCCTGTACAGATGAACCTGAGTTAAATCCTCAAGTTAGTATGAAATAGAGCAGATGTTTTATCTCTAATGTAAACTAACACCCTATTTCCTATATATTGAATATACAATCTTCAAACTACCAAATACATCATACAGTCTCATATTTATTGGATAAAAGATTAGCATTTGGATTACGAATCTATTCATGAACAAATAAAATCCCTATAGGGTATAGAATCAAAAATAACAAACTAATCTATTAAACCACTGAATGTATGACATGAAATCATTTATATGTATGTACCGAGCACTGAAATACCATAGAAGGCAGTTTCCAAGCAGTCAGTCAGAGTTCTCTTGTTGCCATAAACACTGAAATGATATTATGTTTTATGCCTTGTTTCAGTGTCTAGTAAAACTGTGTATACCCACTGGTGAAGAGATTATGTTGTTAACAGCCGGGGTAGAAGATAGAGATGGTTGGGCTCATGCTATTGGTGCTGTCCTTCGTTCACTCACTTCTTCTGAAGAGGTAAGCACAAATTCAAAATAGCAATCTGTTCATCAGGATTTGTAGCTTTTTCATATCTCAATGTAGTACTTGAAATGCTATAATGTATATGACTAGATGTGTAGGTGCTCTGTGTATATTTATACTCCACCAAAGAATCAAAATATTAGTAGGTTATTAGCCTGAGGAATAATGAAAGTAAATTTTGACCTATTGACTAGTTATGAATGCCCTTCCACACAACTTCATGATATATCCCCAAGAAATCACTATTACCAAGGGAAGTCATCTTACCGTAACCTTGTTAAGTGCTGCTGCTGGGATTTCTTTGTAAGCTTATATGATGTTTGATTTTCAAACATTTAATATTCAAAACAATATCAATTTATTGACCGATCACTTGAAACAGTAAACTCTGTCAAAACCTTGGTAATATTGACCCTGTTCTATCTTAATCTTTATGTTGTGTTTTAGAGATCACCTCATAAGATGCCATTCAGAGATTTCAGAGCCTATGCAAATGTCAGGTAAGAAGCACTCCATTATACATCTTTGATGCTCTGTACTATTGAGACATAGGTAATATTTGAGAATGGCTTGTGTTTATGATCTAATAGAGTTTTCTGTAAAGCTAAAAAGAGATGGCATCCCCTTCATGGCAATATTCTTTGATATTTTGTGGAATTTTCCATTTTCACTAGTTTTTTTGGTTGCATTTTAAACTTCTAGATAAAAAAGAATGGGATTGTCTAATTTGACATTATTTTTCCAGTGAAATAATCGGTGCCATACAGGAACCAGGAGCTGGTATAGAAACTTCAACACATGTTCGTGGCAGCAATGTTTATAAAAACTGTTTTAAAGGTAAGTATTTTTTGATAAATGATAAAAGAAAAGACAACCATCCATATGGTACGAACCAAGTTTTGCAAGGATGAAACCTTGTACCAGTTGGTTTTAAGCATTGATCATTTATGCTCGTATACAGATGAATTTTTAATACTGTGGTATTTAAATGGTTACTGCTCTTTACTATTTGAATATTTCAATATTTTTTTGTGGACAACAGCTTCAACTCTTATAATTTCTTTATATTTTTTACTTTAGGAAGTGACATAGTTGATTGGTTAATGAGATGGTCAATTGTTCGTAACCGCGGTAACGGTGCCGCTATGGCCCAGACATTGTTAAAACTAGGTCATTTCCAGGAAGTAGACTTACATGATGGTAGTGGAGGAGTCAGCACCAATTTTCATGATAATGATAAACTCTATAGATTTGTAAGTAAATTTCTTACATGAATAAGAGCCATTTTACATTGTCCTTATAGATACCCTGATAATCAAAATACTGAGGTTATTTTATTCTACCAAGTTTTGGATTTTGACCCACAGTCATTGTCCAACCCTTCCTTGATGTTGATCTTTGCCAAAAATAGACATAAGGGCTTGTCATGTCAGTCAGTCATGTCTGGAAAATATGACCAAATCAAAAACCCTACAACATACTTTTAGGTATAAATGCATCATCAGGAAATCGTGGGAAGATTTGATATATATATATTGTCAATTATTTACTTCCAGTTGGCCATCCTTGTTTCCTCTTTTGAGTACTGCAAGTATTTAAATTGAAGATATTTGTTAAATGAAAGGCTGTGCCAGTACAGAATGATTATCAGAATTATTTTCATATATTATAATGGTTTTTTTCACTGTCAATGACCATTGTTTAAAAAAATAAATCAAAATTTACACCCTCAAAATTTTCCTAAAACAATATGGGAATTTTATTGTGTGGAAAAATTCATTTTTTGTGTCAAATGGGACCGTGAAATTTCTTGTATTTCCCATTTTCATTAATATTTATAGTTGGTTAATGAAAGTATAACAGGTTGATACAATGAGTAATTTGAACTTCCTTATCAATGTTAGTTGACAAGTAATATATATGTTGATTAGTAAATTATAATCCACACTTCCTTATGAAACTTGTTGTCAATTCTTTAATTAATCTTTCCTATTCCTTATCTCATTCATTCATTCATTCTCATGCATTCTTTTTCATTCTTTCATTCATTCATTCCAAACTTGTAATGTTAGAACTGCAAATTTTACCCAATGTTTCAATGGGTAAAAATGATTTTCATTCATTCCATTTATTTATCCATGCATGTTGATTGTTGAGAGCTCTTTTGCAAAGTGCTGGAGCAGTTCATAAGCTGTACCCACCTCATATTACTCCTTTCCAGATTGCCATGCCTTTCCTTTATATTATTCATTTCAATTTACAATCATTCAATTACAGACCTCCATTAACCTAGGAGCTAAACGTAACAGTTACTATGACAGCACAGACAGTGAGTCGAGCTCTTCAGAAGAAGAAGATGAAGGTGAAAAAGATGAACAAAAAGAACGTTTGAAAAAAGGAAAAACCATTAAAGAGGCTTTCCTATTGAAAAAGGTAAAACATATAAAACTTAAAAACAAAATCTTTTAAGATTAAAATGCTGTGGAAGGTTTTGAAGGTTGACGGTGTCAACAAACCAAACCAAACACTAGCCAGGGCCATTGGGCCATTCCTGGCCCACCTCTTAATTAACAGTCTGGGGAAAGGTCCATGGGCACTCCATGAATATTTCAGAAAGGCACATCTCATTCCCCCCTCCCCTTTCAGGCATTGTCAATGCTGTATTGTATGTTTTTTTTAGAGAACTCTACGTAAAGGTTGGAAAGTAATAAAAGCTACATTAAGAGATAATCCTGCTCATCTTCAGTATCAAAAAGCTGCCCACTCTGTTGTAAGTATTTCATGTTAAACAGTTAGTTCTTATTGCAAAGCAAATAGCCATTAATATTACAACCCTTAATCAATATATAGATTGGACTGTTTATTTTTTCATTCTCTACTCTTATGGAAGATTTTTGAGATTTGCAAACTCTTCTTGCTGACCTTATTATTGTATTTTTATAAAAGTATGTTTTTAATATTTTGTAAATCAATTAAAGAATCAGATGTCATATATTTTAACACAGTTGATATGTTTTTTCATTGTTTGTTGCTATATTCTAGGTAAGTGATAATAAAGCTGGTACGATAATGTATTTAGAGAATGGTACAATAACAGAATCTTCAAAACCTCCTGTAGATAAAGGTAATTTGATAACATCCAACTAATAGAATAAGACACAATTTATGGATTTTGTTACTTATGCAGGGACTGAAGTTTTCAAAATTTTTCATTGAGGAAACCATTACAATTTTCAGTCAGACTTCTTATACTTCTATTTACAAACCTTTTATAATCCTTTCAAATTAAAAAAAAAATGTTATTCTGTGAAAATTGCATTAATTCTTTAAACATGTATGTATATGAATGTGTTGAATATTTGATTACCAGGTATTATTTTATTTCAGGTGGTCTAGGCAGAAGTAAAGGAGCACGATATCGTGTTTATATTAAAGATGGTCAGGGCAAGTCTATAACTCTCCAGTACAAAGATGAACAGGAGTCATGTGAATGGTTACCTGTATTAAAAACATCCACTGCCAGTTCCAAACCTGATAACAAGGGGAATGATAAGCCAACTTTAGATGGCTAATAGGGACAAGAGCAATTATAGATTCTAGGACACCTGGCCTGTAGTCAGAAACATCATAACTTTGATATAGTCATAAAAAAGATACTGAGAATTCTTTGTTTCTGTATGAGCCAATGAGTTATATTTTTTTAAGATATTCGTGAAATACTAATTAATGTTACTGCAAAAGTTTTAATCTTATTGACAACAGGCCAGACCTCAATTTATTTTAAGATTTCTTTATCGAAAAATGCAAGGACAAGTTCCTGTAAGATTCTACTGCTGAGGTTTGTGGCCTGTTGAGATAGTCCCAATTCAAAACCGACCAAAATAAAAAAAAGTAGCCTGGGGCCTTATTCTCAAAATCCTAATGTAAGATAGTTGTAGTGTTCCAATCATCTGATTGGTCAATCACGAAAATGGAATTTAAATTTAGTTAATTATCCAATCAGATTACTGTATTATTATGAAATCTTGAATTTCTTTCAGTTAAGATTTTGAGAATAAAGAACCTGGTTTTTAGGTGCTTTAATATGAAATCTAGTCTTCCAAGTATAAAGTAGCCTGTTGTTTTTCAATAATTGATTTTAGGAGTAGCCTATTGTGTAGTATGGTGATAGTTATTTGTTTATGTTGTTATCATCAGTTTAGCAGTTGAGTCTGTTAAGAAATAGTCTCTAACCTAAACTCTTTGACAGAAAGTTTAACTGTTAGCTGCTAAATAGAAACTTGTTGACTCTTACAGTGGCGGGGCCAAAAGGGGGGGCAGAGGGGGCAGGCGCCCCCCCTCACAGCCCCGAAAGCAAGTTTTTCGGGCAAAAATCTCACAACTATATTAGAAATTCGGGCAATCTCAGATATTTCACCCCCCCTCGGACATAAACCTGGCCCTGCCACTGGACTCTTAGTTAGACTCTGATAGATCTTTTGACGGCTTTCTGGGATATAGAAACGTGTTGACTCTTTCAGATATTTTTACTGAATTTAGATGACATATACATAAAGTTAAGCTCAGGTTGACTGGCAATTCAATTCATAGTCAAAACTGTTCTATCGCAACCAACAACAGTCGAGGTTGACTGAGTGATTCATTGAAATATCAGTTGCCCTAGATTTTGCCAGTCATGAAGGTGTTCTAACCAAAAGCCCTTGCTAAAGACCCGGTGTTTTAGCCACTAATGATCCAATAGGCCTAGTGCATTCTCAATGAGATATATCTTGGTAGCTATTTTTGGCAGCATGCTATTATTTCTAGATATAGTAGATGTCTTGAACCCTATAATCTGACTTTGATAACATTTTTTTAGATGTGATTTTTATTAACTTTTCCAAAAGGAGATTTCCATACCTAATATTCCAGTGTGTTTAATAGTTATTCTGTGTTAATGGGGTGGCTCGATTGCTGAGTTCTGCACATTCAGCATTCATAGAATCAATGAAAGTTACAACACTTGTGCCAAAATAATAGTAGATGCAGACAGATTTCAAAATGGCGCAGAAAGATATAGATGGGAAAATTTTTAATGTCACATATCCGCTTTCATCTGCTCGATTTAGGGCAGAATTGGAACAGATGGAACCTGTTCAGAACTCTCCAATCGAGCTCCACCAAAGTTTTATTAGAGGGTGAGAATCATCTTATTATTATGCATTAATGTATTTTTCAGTCCCGTGTTTGTTCTGAGTAAGCCCTTAGTCATCTTGACCTGATACATGAACTTATTGTCTGGCCACAATGTTGATGTTAACAGAATCAATGTGTGCCAATTAATTTTATGTTAATTGAAACATCAACTTCCAAAACAGTAACGAGAATCTAAGATTGTCTTTTGGTTGATGAAAATGCCAACCATTGAACAAAATTATTATTTAGAAATATGAATTTTCAATTCTATATTTAGGTCAAATTTTGTGAATTGAAGTGTGTTTATTTCAAATGTAAAATCTCCAAACGTAATATTTTTATGAATCTTAAGACATTATAAGATAAATGACGTGCCATTGTAAATTTTATTAAAATTATTTGTCAAATGTGAGAAAAAATTCCATTGTGGTTGGAGAGTAATCTTATTTTACCTATGATTTGTATGATAAGCATACCATGTTGTGTATAATTTGTGAATTCATAAGACCTCATTTTATAATTTGTTAATTTTATTTCATTTTATTTTAGTTCATTGTTAATTTCAATTGATTGTCAATATTAATTATTAAGTTCTATTTTTTCTATATTTTAGTTTTGTTATGATTAGTTTTAATTCTATTATGTTGTATATATTATTCTATATTCATGATTTTGACTGTATATTCTCAGTGACACTCAATATAATATCTTTAGACCTATCAATCTGATTAAAATGTAAATCTGGATATTTAATTGTATGATACTATCCTGAAAGCTTAAATGGGAACATTCTCTGATTTTCTTCAGAAAGCCTATAAAATAACTTAAAAGTACTTACTAGCAGAATATTGTGGTAAATATATTTTGGACATCAGACTATTATTTTTAGAAAAACAAATGACGATTATGAAACAAGGATTGCTCCATTTATTGAGTAATGAAAAACAAGTATGATTTCATAAATCTGAAAATGTTCTTGGTAATTTTTAGCAGGGGCATTCTCCCCTTTTTTTTTTTTTTTAAAGACTATCAGTTTATAGATAAAAGATTATGTTCAAAAATGAATGTGCAGTTTAAAATTCATGAATTTTCTATTTTATAGTTTATCACTTTGTTATATTTTGTATGTATATTTTATTAGTCACTGTATATGATGTTTTATAGTTGAAGCTTTTATTGATGGTGTTGGGAAATAGTTAAATACTCTAGCCAAGTTCTGTTTTATACTATTATTACCAAACCAAGTTCTGTTTTATACTATTATTACCAAACCAAGTTCTGTTTTTAAAATCAAACTGTTTTAGCTTTATTAAATATAAGACAGAAAACTTGACCTTGATGCACAGGTGTTTTTCTTGATTTTTAAAAAAAAAAGATTTATTATGAAGCAGGTGCGAACTCTTTCTTTATGAAAGAAATATTTATAGAATACTTAGCAAAATTCCCAGATAAGATTAAGTAAATATCTGTGCACAAAATTTTCTCATATTTATTACATGGCAAAATAGTATATCTGTGTAGTTGACATGGTTAATTATACCAGTCTGGTCAGGATAGATTTGTGAAATATTTGTTTAACAAATTACTAACTAGGGCATTTATCTAAATCAAAATTGTGCCCAAGATTTATCAGTTTTTTTATTCAGAAAATTTAATTTTGTTTACACTCTGAAAGGTCTAGTTCAGAGCCGTTAATTGGCTGCATTCGCCATGTATGTTTATGAAATGTTTGTCTTATTTTGACCTTCTGGAGTATAATTCGGGGTTTATTTCAGCATTTTTATATCTATACTTGATATTTTCTTGACCATTTTTTACCAAGCATTAAACTATTAAGCATTTATATTGTGCAATATGACAAAATGAAGACATTGAATCTTGTACACAGCTGGAACCAAGTGTTCACTATTTAGAGAGAAATAAGGCAGCTAGAATTATAATGGTGCTTGAACTTGTCTAAAACTTGTTTTTGATGAGTATCTTTAAAGTTTGTTATTCATGATATGCAATGCAGCAACAACATTTTTGACAAATTTTGTGAATTTAAAATATTTTATTGAAAGGAGAATATAAAACAGTTGTAAAGTAAATATGCTAGGTATCTGTATAAATATCACTCTAGACTGATATAATTGTTAATCCTTATGCAATATTTCGGTGATAAAGGTTTCAAGCTGACAACAGGCTCAGAAACACTGGCTGCTGAATCCAAATTGTTCTTATCTTTAGGAGGATTCTACAAATAGCTACTGACTGAGCTATTCCACTGCCACTAAAAAACAGTGCCAGCATTAACCTTGAAACAGTTCGAAATATATTATAATATTCATATAAAGAGATAAAGATTACACCAACAGATCCTTAGTTTAAGTTAGACTTTCTCGTCTAATGTTTGAATAAAACCTATGTCATATAAGTTGTTGAGTGTTATAAACATCAGTAGAATACCATAAAGTTGTATCTGTTTATTTGATATTGTAATATGTAGAATACCAAGGAACTGTATTTTAAGCATTATTTTGTATAGAATGATTCTATTGTATTTGCATGTTATACTTATACTACAGAAATAAACTAACTTCTTTTACTATGTTTTTATTATGATTGAACAATCGTAGGAGAGCCACAACATTTCTCCATGAGTTAAGTATTTCAAAGTCTTAACAAGGAGGTTTGCGCCCTTAGATGGAGATTTGCATTGGGCTAAACTTAAAGACTGAAACAATAGCACAACAGAAAGGGGAAATAATTCTTACTTTATGTCAAAAAGGAAAAAAAAGATCTCTTAAAGAAAGACTGTATTGTCTCTACTGAATATAGAAATTAGTTGCACCCCCAAGTAATTTTTTCTCATATTTAAAAATATATGTTTTTTAAACTCTTTTGCCCCAAAATATGTGTGTCAGATTGCACCAAATTTCAGAAATTATCCTGGGAGAAGCCTCTGAGTCGCCCCATGAGAGGCTGGTTATTATCGTGCCTCAACAGAGTTACCGCATTTGAATTCAGTCTCGATATTTTCTCCCACTGTGTCAGTCTGTCTCCTATTTGTACCCCCGGTCAAGGGAATCTGGAGCTGCCACTGAATATAAAGTACCTGCTCTTATTTGATAATTCTAAGGTAGATAACATGCATTCCATTTTTTATTTTGAACAATTTAAAACAGATGGAAATTATATCCAGAAACTATTTAAGACAGTTAGATAGTAACATGATAATTTTTGCATACTGCCCCCTAATTAAATAATTCCAATTCACAGAATTCAACTAATTTAGATTAAAAGGTTTAATATGCAATGACAGTAAAATGATGAAATTAAGGAAAATTTACTGTCAAATGACCTAAATTGATAAGATAAAATATTTCAGATAAATAAACAAAGGATTTAAACATGATATGATGTATTTGATTTACAGGGTAAATTTTGTCAGGATTATCATTTAAACACAATGTGATGCAATAGAAAGAAATGACATAGTCTGATATATATTCGTTTACTTAGTATGTACCCGTCAAAATTTACAGTGAACCGACGAAATTTCAGTTTAAAATTGTACACAGCAGAATCACAAACATGGCCACCGACCTCGTGGATTTATTCGTTTCGATCGGTTTAACCGAACAGAAAGCCAAGGAAACTATTAAAAATGATCAAGTTTCGAAGAATTTGAAGAGTGCTATCGATTCAGTAGGTTCAGATTTACTTTTCATTCAGATTTCTCTCATAGATCGTTGATAAGAGAGCCGGTATGTTGATATAAAATGATGACGTAACTCTACTTTCGATTTATGAATTTATTTGTGCAAGTCAATTTGGATTTGGATTTTGGGTGTAAACCTCACTTTGTCACAATTTTGCTCTTTGGAAATATTGAAGTGCAGTAATAAAGTAAATTAAGTTTTTTTTTTGTACCCTATCTACATTGTAAATCATTAGTAAATGCCAGGAAGTATTATTTTTTTTCAGGCTAGAAATGTAAGTGGAGAGGGTGACCTGAATGATTCTGGTAAACTTTTATACCATATTGCCACCAAGTTAAAATCTCAAATTAAAAATAGACAACCATTACTGGTAGAATATGTTGTCAAGAAAAAAATTACTTCAGAAAACCAGCTCAATGGTAAGATATTATAAAAACATTTATCCAAGAAGCATAATTAGCTATGTGGACTCAACAGGTGTTCTGGAGTGAACTTAATCACTTGCAAAGTGGCATCAGGTGATCAAGAATTGTCGGTCATTTTTCACCAGTTTTTTACTAATATCTGTGGAGCAAAAATGAAAAAAAAAATGGATACTGGTAATCTAAAATCTTTTTAAAATAGTACAATTTTTGATAGGCAGTACTATATGAATCCAATAGGCTTAAATAGGAAATTGCTCAATGAAGTGAAGTCTAATATTATAACATGTAAATATTTTCTATTTGTGTAGCTGGTATGGAGTATTTACTGTCCCACCCTGTAGAGAAGTTGAATGTAGAAGAGTTTGAGAAAGCATCAGGTGTAGGAATCAAGGTTTCACCAGAGGATATCGAAACTGCTGTAAGTTAGAATATTAAGTTAATATAGAAAACATTTGTTGATATCTTGTTGATAAGCACCAGAAGTTTGCTGAATTGGATGTTGGCTATATGCCATCCATATGTGATCATGACATAGGTCAAGGCTGATGATTTGGATGTCAAGCCAGTCATGTTTGAGTGGGACTCTTATTGTGGTTTTAGCAGGTGGTCATGAAGGCTGCTGGTTTGTAGTAGAAGCTTTCTGAATTGTAGTCCTAGCTTAAAATGCAATTTTTTAAATAAATTGAACTTTTGTACATCAATTCAATTTTTTGCTTGTGTTGATCACCTCACCACAATACTTGGCAAATAATGTTATTTAAATCATTTGATATAGACTGATGTTCTGTATGTAAATGTTTAATTGTAGGTAGAAGAAGTGATAGGGAAATATAAAAATGATCTGAAAGAACAAAGGTATAGGTTTAATACTGGAAAAATACTGGGTATGTTACTATCTCTTTATAACATGCCCATGATGAAACTGAGTTGTTACCCTTGACTAGATATATAAAACCATTGACTAAGTTACTCTACACTACTAAAAACTATAATAAAAAATGATTGGTTTAGTTGTATGTTCTGAAATATCTGGAAATGCACAGTGCCATTGACTAATGGAAAAATTTAATTTCATTATCAACAAATATATTATGAACTTAAATATTTATTTGATCTAATAGCTTATTAAAGGAGATTTTTTGTGCTAATATTTGAAATATTTTCTAGCTGAAGCAAAGGGAAAATTAAAATGGGCTGATGGTAAAGCTGTTAAAAATGAAGTAGACATGCAGGTTAGATTCACTTCTTTTTTTGTCATTATATTAGGGGAAAGAAGATAGGGTTGTACTTTTAGAGGTTTCATGCTGTTTTCTTAAATCTTTAAAGATTTTGTCTTGTTTTGAAGGAAGGTTTCAGAATTTATCCTGTTATGAATTTTTTCTTCTTATGTTGCTGATAGAGAGTGTAGAATCAACCATTACATCAACCTTATTTATAATGCCTAGGTTTCAACATTTTCTATCATTTCTTTGTGAGAAATATCGAATATCTGATTCCAAATGTTGTCAGACGTTGTCTATGTAACTAAGAATATTTACAGTATTGTTTTATGGCTTCAGTTATTAGATTTATTGGGACCAAAAACTGATGCTGATTTAGAAAAAGCACCAAAACAGAAGGCACCAAAACCTGCTAAAACAGCTGACAGTAAAACAGAGGCTGGACCAGTTATTGATGATTGTAAGTACTTGCTGCATTATAAAAGAGTGATTTTGCCCTGTCAGGCTGGTGACCCAAGCCGTAGAGTTACTTTGGGTCAAAGTAAGAATACACACTCTTTTACATTATATATTTTGAAGTATTTACATTATGGTCTTAGCATATTTGAAATTGAACATAAGAATAAAATTTTCTATTTCTAGTCATGGGTGAAGACGGCCATGTCAAGAGTTTTATGGATTTAATGGGTGATGCTGTCAAATTTCATAAAACAGGTATGTTTGTTCCTTTACTGTAAAAAAAAACAGATAAACCGACAAGTTAAACCCTGACCCAGCATCTGGGCATTGATAGTTCCCAGAGTATCAGTACCCATGTACAGCTATGCTGACTAAGCTTAATTTCATTTAAATTTTGCTGTTTTGTTAAAATTTCTAAAAAAACTACATTTTATTTTCAGGAGAGAATTATAAGACTGATGGGTATGTGATAACACCAAATACAATGACTATATTAAAAGAACATTTAAAACGTACAGGGGGTAAAGTTTATACCAGATTTCCACCAGAACCAAATGGTATTCTACATATTGGTCATGCTAAAGCTATCAACTTTAACTTTGGTTATGCCAAGGTGAGTATTGTACAAGATTTGAAATAGAGAAGAACGCCAAAAGAAGATATGTTATTAAAGTGATACTACGTCTTAGAATAAACATAAAATTTAATTCTCAAGAATGGTCAGTATGAGTATATATTCATCAGTGAACTTACCTGGTGTCATAAAGTTACAACAGAATCCCTGTAAAATCTAGAAAATTGGAAAATTCATAAAACTAAGTAATTATTGAAAAACGCTTCATCATAATATTAAGTGTTTTTCAATAGTTAATTGCATTTTTATTAAGTTTTTTTGATTTATCGGATTATATAAGGATCCTGTTATGTTATTTATGACACCAGGTATATCTACTGATGGATATATGCTCTTATTGGCCAAGTTTAAAATTTTTAGATTTTATGTTTATTCTAAGACATAGTATCCTTTTAAGGCTTTTTTGTTCACTCCTTAAAGGTGAAGTGAAGTATCTCACCTATTTCTATTTTATTCCTTAGCTGACTTACAGTAGATTAACAGTTAGGACCCTTTTAGAGAATAAAATCACTACATTAGTAATTAAGTACCAATTATGCTAAAAACAACACTGCAAGTAACTGTACCTTAGTTTATCATATTTAAACACCTTGTAATAAGTGAATCTATTAATCTGATCATTGTTTCTGTCTGTATTTACAGTGGACTGGTGGTAACTGTTATTTAAGATATGATGATACAAACCCAGAAAAAGAAGAAGAAAAATTCTTCGTTGGTATCAAAGACATGGTTGAATGGTTAGGTAGGTGCCACCAGTTATTATTGGTATATTGTGATTCTTGGCAAATAAAGATTGCAGATTTTGACCTATTGCTCTCCTATTATAACTATGAAGTAGTTTGGAAAAGCAGAATCCAACCTATCAAATTTTTGTTGTCTTAGGCCATTTCTAATATTGTTTATTCATTCTGTGGGAGGTCTTTCCTTTTCATAGAGTCAACAAAGCTTAAGTTAGTACTTTGTTTTGTAGGCTACAAACCATTTAAAGTGACACATGCTTCAGATAATTTTGATAAGTTATACAACTACGCAGTAGAGTTAATACGTAGAGGTCATGCTTACGTTTGTCACCAGACAGCCGAAGAGGTCAAAGGTTACAACAACCCTGATTCACCGTGGAGAGACAGACCAATGGAAGAATCTCTTAAACTGTTTGAAGTAGGTTACATTTTTTAGTCTTTTCTGATTAATGTTGCTCTAAATAATATAAATTGTTCTATCATATCAAGTGCTACTTGCTGATCGTTACACTGTGAAGGAAAAGTCCTTGACTGAAAACCTTTATTGAAACTTCTCACTCTATAACTATAGGCTAAAGTTGAACAAAGAACAAAACTTCAGAACATGTTCTTACCAATAGTTTTATTATGAACTCTTTTCTCAGACTATAATGTTAATATTTCTAGATATATCCCTACATGTTTATTATCAGTGGCTTTAAAAAATATCATCAAATATAAAGTTATTTGATTTGGGAACTGACATAACTTGATGATAAATGTTCTATACGCTTTCTGTGTTTTGAATCATGTTATATTATTATAGGACATGAAAAATGGAAGAATAGATGAAGGTAAAGCTACTTTAAGAATGAAAACTATTTTAGAAGAAGGTAAAAAAGACCCAGTAGCTTATAGAATAAAATTTACACCACATCATAGATCAAAAGATACATGGTAAGGCTGCTTTTGTTTTCTTTTTGGGATAAGACAAGTGAATCATGCTAAACTACCTAGCTGTTGGTGACATGATGGCAACCAGCCACTATTGAACCTACAATATCCTATCGATATTGCATAGTTTTCTTCAATGTGTTCTCCTTGTGTTATTGTTTAGTAAGATATGAATAAAAATTTATAAACCAAAAATAATCCCAATATTGGTAGCAAACATACTTAATATGACCATACCCATTGTTGATATTGATAAATTGTTTGAATACATTGAAAAAGAATATGATTCTATGAACTCAAAAGCAATGCTACTGTAAGGATAAGAGAATTGATATCATTAAAGGTTATTGAAAACTCTATAAAACTGTATAAATGTACTATTCTCTCTTGTTTTATAAACTTTTAAAAGTTTTTGTTTCAGACTAACTATATGTATTGCTTTCTTATTCCAGGTGTATTTACCCGACCTATGATTTCACTCATTGTTTATGTGATTCTATTGAAGACATCACTCATTCTCTGTGTACTAAAGAATTTCAATCCAGGTAAGGGCATACTTAGATTGTGTTTACGCTTTACTGTTTAATAGTCCCTTTCATTGATATTTTGAATGACGAGTTATTGTGTGTGTTTTGAAAGAGTGAGTTTCAAACATTGAAGCTATAAGTACATGGCAATATAGCTAATGTAGTCTGATACAAGTGGTAAATACAGCCAAATTGATATCAGAAACTGAATATTTAATGCTGAGTCATTATTCTTACCCTGTTCTATTGCAGACGTTCATCTTACTATTGGTTATGTAATGCCCTAGATATCTACTGTCCGGTACAGTGGGAATATGGTAGACTCAATCTCAACTATGCTGTTGTTTCAAAACGAAAAATAGGAAAACTTATTACTGAAGGTTTTGTTAGGTAAGTCAATTTTAAACTACAGCTTGTTCCACCAAGTGTCTGTCAATAATACTCATCTGGGTCCCGTTTAAAACCAATCAGAGCGGTTTACTTTACTTATGGGTAGAATGACTAAACAAGCAAGACTTTTTTTGTTGATTATGACTAATACGGCGTAAAAAGTGGACTGCTTGTGAATATGTTTTAATTGAAACCTGGAGGTGCAAGTATATTATTGTTAGACTATGGTAACCAGATATTCTTTCCAGGTTACAATTTCCATAATAATAACATATACCTTTGTGTTTTACAGAGATTGGGATGATCCTAGATTGTTTACATTAACAGCAGAAGAAGGGGATTCCCCACTGAATCTATTTATATCTTATTGTTTATTACAGAAATTAGGATGATCCTAGGTTGTTTACATTAACAGCAGAAGAAGGGGATTCCCCACTGAATCTATTTATATCTTATTGTTTATTACAGAAATTAGGATGATCCTAGGTTGTTTACATTAACAGCAGAAGAAGGGGATTCCCCACTGAATCTATTTATATCTTATTGTTTATTACAGAAATTAGGATGATCCTAGGTTGTTTACATTAACAGCAGAAGAAGGGGATTCCCCACTGAATCTATTTATATCTTATTGTTTATTACAGAGATTGAGATGATCCTAGGTTGTTTACATTAACAGCAGAAGAAGGGGATTCCCCACTGAATCTATTTATATCTTATTGTTTATTACAGAGATTGAGATGATCCTAGGTTGTTTACATTAACAGCAGAAGAAGGGGATTCCCCACTGAATCTATTTATATCTTATTGTTTATTACAGAGATTGAGATGATCCTTGGTTGTTTACATTAACAGCAGAAGGGGATTCCCCACTGAATCTATTTATATCTTATTGTTTATTACAAAGATTGGAGTGATCCTAATTTGTTTACATTAACAGTTTTATGAAGTAGGGGATTCCCCACTGAATCTATTTATACCTTATTGTTTGTTACAGAGATTGAGATGATCCTTGGTTGTTTACATTAACAGCTTTAAGAAGAAGGGAATTCCCCACTGAATCTATTTATATCTTATTGTTTGTTACAGAGATTGAGATGATCCTTGGTTGTTTACATTAACAGCTTTATGAAGAAGGGAATTCCCCGCTGAATCTATTTATATCTTGTTGTCTATTTTAGAGATTGGGATGATCCTAGATTGTTTACCCTAACAGCATTAAGAAGAAGGGGATTCCCAGCAGAAGCTATCAACTTATTCTGTGCTAAAGTGGGTGTGACTATGGCCCAGACTGTTATTGATCCGGTGTTACTAGAATCTTGTATTAGAGATGTTCTCAATATTACAGCTCCACGGTCAGTATTCAAATATTATTGGTTGATATACATTTGGTACATAGCCTAGGCAACCTGGCTTGGTAAAACAATAGCATGTGAATGATTTAGGATAGCTGTTGACTTTAAAGAAAACTACTACAAGATTGTTCATTTAGTTACTAGGATCTTACCTGTTTTAATCATGTCTTGTAAGGGATTTATGTCAATGATGTATTATTTTTACTTCGTATTTTGTTGGTTTTGATTTTATATTTTATATTTTATATTTTATATTTTATATTTTATATTATATTTTATATTATATTTTATATTTTATATTTTATATTTTATATTTTATTTTTATTTCTAGAGTAATGTGTGTATTTGAACCATTAAAAGTAACTATATCAAACTTACCACCTGACACCCCTTCTGAAGTTACCGTACCTAATTTCCCTGCTGATGAGAAGAAGGGTCACCATAAAGTACCCCTACGTAATGTTATCTATATAGACCAGTCTGACTTTAGAGAGGTAAGGAAAGGATGATGTAGCATTAAGATTTGGGAGTTTTGAATTTCATCTGATTTAAATGTGTTTTTTACGCTTCACAATATCTTTTTGTCAGTGGTGAAAGATTAAGGGAAAACATCATAAAAAACGTCACAATAAACTAAGTCTTTGTATGCTATGAACATCAGTCAAAACAAATCCATGTTTGTTTTACATTCCTAGCCAAATTACCTGTATTGTACACTTCAGCATAACTTTACCTTTTTTCTTTGGCACAGAAGCAACCCAGAATGTGCTATGTAGATGTGTATTTGATCATCATGATAAATCTTGTATTACAGGTAGCTGATAAATCATACAAGAGGCTATCGACCAATCAAACAGTAGGCTTACGACATGCTGGGCTGGTTATCTCTGTAGATAAGATTATCAAGGTACTACTCTTTATAGAATCATTATCCAGACACTTCCCATTTATAATACTTAACTTGATAATGGATTTTAAGAAATTTGAAATGTGTTTTTAATGATCATCATTTGATATAATTCTTTAGCCCATCAGTCAGACTGGTGTTCAAACTAGCACTTGATATCTTCTCCTTGGTAATGAGTAGAGCTCAGATAATTAGCTTGATACCTCTTTATTGCAGTCCCAAAGATAATATATAAATGCATGTCAAATTGCTAAATTTCGATCAATTTGTAAAAGTGTTTATTATTTAATCTGGATTAAGATGTAAAGAGATATAGGAGATTTCTGATAGATTTAGGCGTGGCATTTATTTAGCTTTATATTTTGATTCCAAATCAAAATTAAAAAACAATATCATGATGGAAAAGTCTGATCATATTTTGAGAACAAAAATACTTTGTATATCCAAATTAAATTTTAAACAATACAATCGTAAATATTTATAATAAATTGTTAAACTCTTTGTGGTTTTATTTCAGGATAAAAATGGTCGACCTTCAGAATTATTAGTCTCCTGTAAGAAATCAACAGAAACAGAGAAACCTAAAGCCTTTATACACTGGGTATCTGATGGGTTAGAATGTGAGATTAGATTATATGAGCGATTGTAAGTTTTTTTAATGATATTTTACATTTTAAACTTTCGCCTTTGTCTTACACAAAATTTCCATCAAAATGAACCATACATAAGCCTAGTGTCAATATTTAATATCAAATGCTACACTAACAACAAATTTCTATCAAAATATATTATGAGAAACACACATGATTGAGGCTAAGGTCAAAGGTGAGGTTTTTCTTTGAAGGTTACCGTCAAACTACGAAGAATGAAAATGGAATATGCACACAGAGTAATGTCAGGATCTTATATATTAAGATTTATGTAAAAGTGAAAATGTCTACTGGGAAACAATCATTAGTACTGCATGCTTAGACTATGACTGTCAACTATTGGGCAAGTAGCTGTTGTTGGCTTCATGGATGTCATTATGGCCATTTTCCTTTCCAGATTCCACCATAAAAATCCTGAAGACCCAAGTGAAGTACCTGGTGGCTTCTTAACAGACGTCAATACAGTAAGTATTAGATCTTCATTCACGTTCTGTCGGGCTAGGAAATTAGTGATGTGTGACAATACAATTAGTTGTTGTCTGATTTTTATATAGTTGTTCCCCTTTAGTTTAATGTGAAAAACAAGTGAACTTCTCTGTAACAAATGTAAGTTTAAGTACCGGTACCAAGGCTGTTTCAGTACTGCAGAATACTATTATTATAATTTTATTATGTCCTTAAAGGGACAGATTCACCATCAGTTTGACCAATTGTGCCTTAGTCTCAGAAATGTGATTTGTTAGCCGAGCTAATCAGTAATCAGCTCACTTCCAAAATGTGATCCTTTAAATGCATGTGTCTCCAGAATTATTTGCGTTTGAAAGCTAAAATGATGACTCATCTTTTTGCCATATATAGAAAAGACATATATAGATATTAAAAGTGAAATTCCTAGTTTGAGATATTTTTTAAGGAATAAAGCAATTTTCATACAAAAAATAGAAATCGATATGTTACATGTTTCAAAAATATACAAAGCCACATAAATAAGTTTGACATCATTAACTTTAGCAATCAATTATAAATGAAATTAGTATTCATAGAATGGAAATTTTATATCAAGAGTATTTACAAGAAAAATGGCAAAATGTTTCATTACATCTAAATTTGTAGAGTTCAATACAAATAAAAACTTTTCTGTCTTTTAATATTAGGTATAATGAGGAAATAGTGAGATCTCCAACCTCATTGCATTCCTATAATAAGACCCAAATCACTCACTGAAAATTGCTAATTTGTCCCTCATGGTTCCTAAAATTTTGCTATTCTTGTCTTTCAGAATTCTTTGACAGTTATTCCCAATGCCTTGATTGATGTTTCTACAAAACAGGCTAAAACGTTTGATAAATTCCAGTTTGAGAGGTGTGGTTTCTTCAGTGTTGACCCTGATTCTTCTGCTAAAAGGGTAAGTACATTGTTGATCTTAATTTTTTACCTCACTGCACTAGACCACTTTTCATGCAGACTTGACTTAGAGTTGCATGGTGTTGCCAATCTTGTCCAGATTAACCTAATCAGGTGCAAAAAGGTTAAATTTTCATTTAATTTCCTAGAGCTCTCTACCATTGTCTTGTACGACATTCCTTATATAATTGATTAGGAGCTACTCTGGGTCACAAATTGAAACATTTTATGCACTTCAAATACTTGCTGTATCTTCATCGAATTTTGCTGCCGAAGCCCTTGTAGATACATGTGATGATGTTGACCAATAACAGAACTTTACATTTTAACCAATCAGAAACCATAAAACCCGACAGTTTACAACATTCTACATTATATAATAATGATAATTATTTTTTATTGCGTAAATTACATCACAAGTGGTCAAAGCAAATGCAAAAACAAACCAAACACAATAATGTCAATGATGACAAAATACAGAAGTTACAAAAAACTACATGAAAAATATAAATGAGCAAAATACAAAAGTGACAAAATACTATAAAAGTCTCTGGTTAATAGAATATTATCAGATTAAAATTGGGCGTATAAAAACAGTTGTTACACTTATATTTTCACACTGTCTCTCTCAAAGAATTACAAACATTCTTGTTTTCTATGACAAGATACATAGTTGATGTTAATAAATCTTTCATATGTTAAACTAACACATGTTTTTCACATTAACACACATTTTACATGGTGAATAATTTCTTACGATAATTAATGTCTTCTAACTTGACTATAATAGATGACAAAGACAATTTATATCATTTTTTTTTATCAAGTAAAATTTATAGTAAGCTGTTGGGTTAGAAATCAGACTGAGTATTCTCGAAACAATCTTAGCAAGGATCTATCCTAGTAATATGAATTGAAATGCCTCCTTTTCATTATTTCTGGATTTAAGTTATCCGAGCGCTGAGATCGTTTTGAGTATAAGTTGCCAGCTTTCTTAAATCAGAAACTGTTTTTGTTGGTTTTTATAAAATACACAGGTGTTAAAATCATAACATCATGGCTATGTCAAAAGACTGGATTCTCATCTTTGGATTAAATTCTTGACATAATATGTTATCTTTCTCAATACAATAACCCACCTTACATTAGAAATATTATCTGTTCTGAGAACAAAATGTATTAATTTTGGCCCACATTTAGGAGGTGGTTTCAGAACAGTTCTCAGAATGCCGCATGTCCATTAGGCAACCTTTGTCATTATCTTACATTCGGGTGACTACAAGGACTAAATTCAACCTCATCACGAAGAGTTCTCTAGATAACTGTGCCAAGAACGCTTTCATTTACACTACAACTGAAGAACCGTTCTCAGACCACTTGAATTTACTGTACAGTACTGTGTAATGTAAATGGGCACATTTTATTGCTTTATAGGGGCCTGGTGTAACTTATATTTTCAATCGGCCCAGTGGTAAATTGGTAGGGATATTAAAACAACACATTCATCATTAATAATTGTGTATCTTTTTCACAAAGCGAATACTGCATTTTTATTTTGAACAGACACCTAGAGTTTTTGGCTGGTTTCGTCTATCAACCTATCATCATGATAAACAGCATTAATCTTCTAATCTTACCACTGTTAATTTCCTGTATCACAGTTTAAAACTGGTTGGTAACAGCCTCTCTCTCACATATGGTGTCAACATTCAAATTGGTTACAAAACTTTTAAATTTTTATTTATATATTTTATGAACTTAAAGTTTAAATTTAGGAGAAATTTGTCATTCTTTATTTATTTGTACTCATTCTTTAAAACACAAAGACATTTATGTCAAATTCCTAGTTACATTTTCAAATAAAAGTAAGAGTAATTTATGGGGCCAGTTTTGGGTGAACTGACAATAAATCAAAAGTTATTATGACTATTTGTCTATTTATGTTTATAAGCTGATTGTATCTTGACTTTATGGAGCCCCTGAATTACCCAATGTCAATAAAAGATTGAAAATTAAAAGTGGTATAATAAAATCTTATCTAAATGTAATTTACTAATAATAACACAAGAAGAGATTTTATCATTTTAAAGAAAATGGAATGTATGATTTTTTTTTACGTAAATTTATATTTAGGTTCTGCAATATCAGCAAATGTGAAGGAAAGTATATTATTTGATTGATAAATTTAAGATTACCAGTAACATAACAGCTGAAATGAAATTGAAATGAAATTTTCTGAAACTCATTTGAGATGAAATTTGAATTTTAAGAAACCCAATGATATTAGCTTGATTTGCAACTTTTTTCCTCCTTTCTTAGAGTCTATATTTATGACAGAAATTTTTTACAATGCTTAGTTGAAATGAATTAGTTAGTAGTTACCCTAAAAATATGGCTCAAAAAATGTCTGACTGAAAAAATGTCTTGGTATAAACTGAAAAGTAGTACAAGATTCCAGCATCTGCCTTGCTAAGAGATTGCTGACCTTGGTTGGCTATTCTCAGAGTTGAAATTCATTGAAGAAAATGTATTAAATAATTTATTATCACATATTGAAATACAGACCCAGTACTGAAGTATCCCCTAAAATATTATTAAGAAAAAGGTCTAAGAAACAGTGCAAGATAGATTCCAACATCTGTCCTGCTGAGAGATTGTTGACCTTGGTTGGCTTGACATAGTCATTACTGGAATCAGATTCATCAAATACCATGAGGAGATATTTCATTATCAATATCATACACCATACAGTATTACTATCACTCTTCAGATGACAAGATTACAGGTCAGAGGTCAAATACCTCACTGACCCTGATTGACCTTTACTACACCAACCATCTTGTTAATGAAATGGTGAAGTTTTTGATAGTTGTTTATGATCTTCAAGGGATATGGTATCTTGATTTTGTGTTGTGTTAAGACTTGTGCATTTTGATGCAAGTCAAAGCAACTAGTCACCTAATAACATTCATGGGCAGCATTCTAAAATCAAAGTCCTTCCTGATATCACTTTTTTACACATCATGTATATACCAAATCGCATCAAAATCTGATTAAAACTGTAGTCTATATGGTATCCAATAAAAATAGTGATGTGGTTGGCAGTACTATAAGACCACATTTTTAAGTAGGTGTTTAAGATTATGAGATATGACAGAATATTAAGAAGACTGAGAAACTGCAGTGAATATTTTGAAGAATGTATCCCTTTATAGACTATGAATATGACATTACTATAATGTTATCAATTGATAGTTTTCTGTAGTATCGAGTAGGCTATTACTACTGAGTAGGCTACTACAATGGTACCAAATATTATTATTGATCAGGGTTATCCATTTAACTCTGTGATCCCTTTTTAACCTCCTTACCTAATGATTTATAGATATGCCACTGACCAGAAGTTCCTAAACTAGCTAAATAAGATTAATAAATTGACTTTTGTTTATGAGTTTAGTGCCAGAGTTTGTTATATTAATTGCTTCATTCTATAACTGACAATCAAACTATAGGTCATTCAGTTGGTCCTTTAATGATTGTCTTCTCTGGCCACTGGTTTCTGAATCTGTGTTGGCCTTCACAATTATCCAACATAACACCTAAAAAACATGTTACTTATCTTGTTAGGCGATTTTAATAGGCACTGGCTAACTGCACAAGCCGCATATTTCCTTTGTTTTTCAGCTTTACTGTACATAAAAGAGTTTCATTCGTGTAGTACATGGGGCATGGGCAATGGATTGGTTCCCTGTCTCTGCGCTAGTTTTTTTCTTCTCACGCTATGGTTAGGTAGGGATGGTCATATGTTGTCCATCACGGTGCGAATAGTCATTGCCTTTAAACTTTTTATAAGCAAGTGATTTGGTTAATTTCAGACAGAAATGGCATTTAGTGTTCAATGAGGGAAATTTTGCCAAGACATTGGCATTTCTACTCTTTCTTAATTTCCATCTGTCAAGGGATCTTCAAAGTGCACCCTGATCTGTTAAATACATTATAATATCAGATATCTACATAGATCTCTGTCTTTAAATACATAAATCATAATACTTGATTCTTATCTTGATTCTGACTGAGACTCAGACTTGTAGACTGAACTCTATATTAGCAGGGTGACAAAACTTCAATAATCTAATGAGCTATTCACATTCTCTCCAGTATTTCAAGAGGTTATTTGCCACTAGCTTCAGAAGAGGGAATCATTGAGCAATGTGGCATATTACAATATTAATTTGGTTGTTCACATTAAATTCTCCATAACTTTCCTCTATACTGAAGAGATTAAGAAGTAGCTCAAATGATTTGGGTACTGGATCACTAAACTATAAGTGGATTTGGATTCTGACATACATACAGATCCTCATTGCGTAGTGTTTCAGTCTTCACAGAATATTGAAAAGTAGGATGGGATGAATTGCATTTTATTCCATTGACCTGATAAGGTGCAAAACAGTACCTGGATGTAAAACTCACCTTCAGTTCATCTTCACTGTTTACCTAAAGACAAAAGATGCTAGTAGCAGAATTCTTGTAGTGTTGTTTTTAGCACACGATTTCTGCTTACAAACAATTACTTAATGTATAAATTTTGAACATATCTTTTAAGAAAATTCAACCAAATTCCTCTGCATCTATAAAGATAATTTGAGTCCTAAAAAACGTTTTACTGTAGACAATGAATTTCAAACAAACAGAATGACATGATGTGGAATGCTCTGTGGAATTTAAGAGAATTATTTCCATTTTACAATTGAATTTGCATGAAGATAAGAAGATAATTTCAGAAAATTCAGATTGTTGTTTATATGAAATGATATATAGCCATTGTTTTAGAATTCTAGCTTAGATAAGCCACTTGAATTGGTTTATAAAATTTTGAAAGTGTTTGGCTAAGCTTTATAAAATGTTGTTTTAAGTTTAAAATGGCTTTATAATAGAGTATTGACATTGCAATAGTTAATATAACAGTTTGATACAAAATTATGTTCTAAAGAAAATTTT